AGACATGACTAGAAGTACTGAGGATTCCATGACAGTGAATCCACTGATGAAGAATTCTTGGGCAAAGCAGGCATTGGGTGCAATTGCCATGGCATTAAGCAAGCAGACTCTCAGCATGGTAGGAAGGGAGGAAAAGGAGAGGCCCAGGTCAGAGATGGCCAGGTCAGAGAAGGAAATAATACATGGGCTCATGAAGTGAGGGCTCTGTCTTTATGATAAAGAGAATGGTGCTGTTGCCCATGATGGCAGCCAGGTACATGAGGCAAATGGGGATGGAGAACCAGATGTGGACATGTTCCATTCCTGGGATTCCAATCCGAAGAAAAAGTTGGACCTCAGAGTTATTGAAAATAGACATGCAGGGAAATATGAGCTCTTTTTCCAGATCTGAAATCACATAAGCAAAAAGAAGTCACACCTTTGGATAAAATTCAGTGTGGTAGGTATAAGCAGTTCCTTTATATACTGTACTCAGAAGCATATTTGGCATACTATTAATAAAATGCAATTTTCAACATTTATTAAAAATTTTTAAACTTGTTTATGTTCTCCAGCATGGTAATCTCACTTATAACAATTTATTCTAAGGTAGTAGTTTTCCCATATTTTTGTCTAAATATGAAAATCATACCAAAATAAGACTGCTTTGAGTCAGTGGCAGGCATTCAGAATCTCTCTGTTTCTATACATGATCTCCAGTAATCCTCTTTTTGGTTTCATCAGAAAACTCCTGACTTCTTGGAAGAAAGTTTAAAAATAATCATCTAAGAAAATAATCAGAGATCCTTGAAAATATCTATACTATGGTAAATAAATATTAAATGCCAGTAAGTAAATTTATAGAATAATTTAATTCATAAAATTATGAGGTTGGTATTGGGTTGGCCAAAAAGTCTGCTTAGTTTTTTCCTTAAAATAAAAGACACATTTTTCATTTTCACCAATAACTTTATTGGTTTGGATATTTTGAGTATGTTAGCTATCTTGCACAGGGTACAAATTGATTGTTCTCAATTTGATTGCTCTCAACTTCAACTGGTCTACTCGGCAGTGAAGCATCATCCCGCAAGGAATCTGCAGCATGAAACTTCGCAAACCACTTTTGACACATTCTGTCAGCCACAGCTCCTTCTCCATACGTTGCAAAAATCTTTTTTGTGTGTGTTTCAGTTGTGTTTTTACCCTTCTTGAAATAGTAAAGCATAATATCCCAAAAATGTTGCACATTTTCTTCCATCTTCAATATTAAAATGGTTAAACAAGTATTCACAAATTTTGATAAGATTTTTTTTCACTGAAATTGAATTTTTCTTTCAAGTGATTGTAATGGCTAGAAATACAGTTAAAACTCAGAACAATTTGCATAACTGGAAATCAGAAATACTTGATTTGCAAGAGAACAAATGGTGTGATGGCAGCCTTGGCACTCTCGTAATGGTTATAACCAAAAATCCATAAAAATAACCAATATTCTTCTGATACACAATCTGGATGTGCAGTATTCACAGAAAATAACATAAAAAGAAGGAAAGTAAGGAAGGAAAGGAAAGAAAAATGATGAAGAAAAAAACCCCAAACCTCAGAAATTAACATTCACATAAGAACATGAGGGTGAAGACTTTGGGTAGCAAAATTTTCACAATTATTAAAAAGGGGGTCTTCAAAAGTACTTCTTCAAGTTCAAAAGCTAAAAACACTGAAGAGGGAACAGTTACTCTGGCTTAGAAGAGCTGCTGTCTATCACCAACATAACAATCAGTCCTACTTCCAAACAGTGATACTGGTGAGCCTGACAGAATCTGACTGGTAGGCACCAATGTCATTGATTGTACAATAATATGTTAATCACTCGTCACCATCAGCCAAAGCGCCAGGTATTTCTCCTCCTCACTGATGCCAAGGTTGCCTTTCTGCACCTCAAGTTCCTTGGCACTGACCATGGGCAGGTTAATGGCTGCGTATTTGGTTCCATGGAATTGCAGCAAATGTATCTGTACATACAGATTCACTCCTGCACTTCTGCACAAATATGGAGAATTGCCTCCTGTTTTAAGGTGAGCCTTCCAGGCACTAGGTTACAGTATGTACCTTTCTTTTTTACCCTCACTTGAAAGTGAGTCTGGTCAAATATATCAGTAATGATTATAGAGATGTCCTGAATATTATGGGGTTCCACGTGAGAAATTTCACAATTCAGGATGTCTCAAAGCCAGTTCACTCTGACCTAAACTTTGCAGCCTGCCCACCATGAAATCAATGGCATCAGCCATCACAGGGTCCACTGGGCCAGATGTAAAGTTTCCAAGAACTTTTTTTTTTTGAGCATAAATGATATCAGTCAAAAACTGCAGTCCAAGTTTGATTAAAGATGGAGGTGTCACTGAAGGACTTGCAGAGGATGAGGGAATGGACTCTGGGAGATTTGTGAGTATATTCAGCAAATTTCTGGGCCAAAAAGCCTCTCAAAGAAGCTCCAAAAAGATGAACTTTATCTAATTATAAATGGTCTAAAAGTTTTCTGAATCCATCACAGAATTTAAGATGTTCCCAATAAACTGGATATTGCAAAACTATTACCCAGTAACCCCAACCAGTCAAAGCCAAAATCTGCTGGAAAAATACATGTGCAGTACTGTTAACTAGGGAATAAATATGAGAGGACACCTGATATTTCTGGGACCTGCATTATTGAGTGATCATATCTTACTGTTGTCATCATCCACGATAAACTTTTCAAGAGGAATTGCACTTCCAAACCAGTTATATATATAATCAGGAGAGACTTTAATCTCTCCCATGATTAGCTGACATGGTAAAGGTTAACCCAGCTGTGGCTGCCCCCATATCCCTTACCCTCCTTCTCAAGGCAGTTCCTCTCTCATCTGGGGGTGAGCCAGGGAGGTGCTGGGACTTTATAGGAGCCAGCAGCTGGATGGGTCAGGATCCAAAGACGAAGCAAACAGTAGTGGCACACTGGTGGGTCGTCTTTGGAGAGGCTGGGTGCAGGGCCTAGCGAACCTGGGCCAGCCTGCATCCTCCTCCCAGGACATCAGCTCATGGAAGCAACTTGATAAGGGTTTTTTGTTGTTGATTTTTTAATGCACATTGATATGACAGCTGTCACAATGCAATCTAACAAAGTTATTTTGAATGAAGTTAAAGGCAACTAAGCACAAAAGCCACCTAACAGGAAAAAAACCAAACGAACTTTTTGGCCAACCCAATACTTATTACCCACCTTTGTATGAGTATAAACACCAATCTAAGCTCAATAAATCACAAGAATATAAAAATATTAATATTGATATGCAATGATTTCCAAAAGAAGTGGGAGAAATGGAGCATAAACAAACTGTAGGGAGTTATGTATCCTTATTGTCTCATGTTTGTACTCCTGCATGAAATGAATAGTTCCTAGCTCAAGCACCTGTGGGCCACACTTCAGGCTATCATTTTATTCTCTCAAAGTAAAGTGTTGAAGTCATACGGTAACTTCATGGGCTTGTTAATCTTATCTCTCTTCATCAAACTATATTTTATCTGAGAAAATTAGTAAAGGAAATTCTAGGTGAAAAAATTCCAAATCAATCCATTTTTTTGTAAAGTAAAATTTTTAAATCTATCTATATATTAAATTAAACCCTGATTTTATCCTCAAGGTCTCTACTAAGGAGTTAATATTATATTATCAAAGGAAAAATGTACAATCTTGCAACTTATCAATTTTTGCAGCTCAGGATAACCAAGGTTAAATACTCACTGTAATTCACTGTAAAAACACATACCTAAGTTGACCATCATACATCCCCTTTTATCTAGTGAGCCCAAGGAATATATACATGAATAAATAAAAGTTATTAAATTAATAATTTAAATTGAAAATATAAGAGACAAAGATGCAAAAAATAAAGGGAGAAAGGAAGCAAAGAGCTCATACTAGATAGTAATCTCATTCCAGAATAGTTTAATGTTTAAATTGTAATAGAAGAAAAATCATCAGTCTTCAATGGAAAGTATATGCACAATAAAAATTATCAGCATCCTCTAAACTAATTAAAGCTTGATTGTGAAATTATATGGTATTTTGTAATTTTTTTTAGAAAATAACCAAGAAAAACATTAAACAAGTAGAACTGGACCAATATATTTGATATCTTGAGAGTACTATCCATACGGATCTGTTTTGTTTGCTGGTAAATGGAGCTATATCTACTAGCCTAGCAGCTCCTATGCAGTATTTCATGCCTTTCTTATCTCCCACCAAGTCAGCAACCCAAATGCCAAGCCCAGGGAAAATACATTTTGGATAGAACCGGGATTTCAAGTGCCATGAAAATCATTCTGTATGTAATGTGTCAAAATGACTACGTAGCAAATTTCATTCTAACCCTTTCTTCCCAAGAGTCATAATGAAATTTCTCATTTTCAAAAAGTTAACACTTACTCCCTTTTGTTTTCCTCTTTGGCAGATGGGTACTGATTTAGATTTTTCAGGAAACATTGCTGTTGTGCATCTTTTATTATGGTAGTTTCTACACTCTTTTATGATGTATTGCATCCCTACCCAATACAACCCCAGCACCTCTATATACACTGAGTGCTAAATACTGAAAAGCATAGACGGGTTTTATTTATGATCATATCTCTGTCATCCACATAGTTTCTGGAACATGAAAAACTCTCAGCAAATGTTCAAAGAATGAATGTCAATGGTAAAAACTGTAAGACATTGAATCATTTCTCAGTGCCTTCTCCCTTTCTTCTGTAATATTAACCAAGAGATATTTATAGTCACTCCACTCATCAACATTTTCAATGGTAAACTTCATCTATTACTGAGTATGCTTTTGGACATGAACTCTGAACTTCAGGAGAAATAACCCAACAGAGCTGACAATTCAGAAATGTTGGCATGATAGTTGGTACCCGAGGTCATGAAAGAAGATCAGATCACTCAGGAAAAATGTACAAAGTACAAAATTTAAGTTTCATATAGAACCATGAGGAGCAGCAAGATTGTTGAGAGCATCTTGCACAAGAAGATCCAGCAATCTGGGAGTAGACCTAGGAGAGAGGATGGAGCAGGTAATAAAGAAGAGAGTGCTTCAAGGAGGATACTCATCAGATCAAGCATTGCCCTGACCACTTAGAATTTCCATTCCTCAAGGTAAAAAAATCAGCCCTCAAGTCTGATGCAAAAACATCTGGGTAAAAATCTCAGCTTGGAAACTGAGTTCGGGTAAGCTGCTTAGGCCTTCCAGCAGATGTTTGCTCTTCTGTTAAATGTTATTTAAAAAAAGGATCTATCTAAAATAGTTATTTTAGAAGCTATGATATAGTCTTTAGCATAATGAAGATAATTAGTGAATACCTGTGTTAATTATTACTTCAACAAAAACTCTCTGAACATTCCTTTGCCATGAGAAGTCCTAGATTGGGTGCAGAGGGATTTTTCTTTTTTAAAATAACAGTGAGAGTCACTTTTATTGTAATACTATCAAGTAAATGGGACCCTGTTGATATCAGGGTTAATAAACTCTATTTTAAATTTTAGGTTATGCAATCCCACCTCCACTCATACATACACACACACACACAAACATACACACACACACACACACACACCCAACACACAGCATTTCTTCTTCCCTCAATAGTCAATTTATTTGGATTTAAATTGTCTAACAAAGCCCAAGGTTTTGTTTTTCAAAGGGATTTTCAGCTACTTGAACTTACCAAAACTGATGTTCAATATATCCCTGAAAAATAGGAGCAAGACCTTTATATTTTGACTTTATATAGATGTACATACTCCTATTTCTCTCGAGGGTGTAGACCCTTGGGAGGAACAGAAAAACAGCCTACTTCCTAGGATATCACAGGGAATTTATAGGGAAAAGGTTGGGCCTAAAATGATAAGTATTTGGTACCTGGGATCCCCAGCTAGAGCTTAAGATAGTTGTAAGGCAAAACAATTGGAAAACTGTTCAATTTTGAGGTAAATGCTAGAAATCACATTGATAGATGAAGCAGGACATGTAGCATTCATAGAGATTAGGCAACACAGTTAAAAGACCAGGTTATTAGTAATCAAAATACTTTAGTTTTAACTTGGAGTCACACACTTTATTTCACCTCAGTTAAATTACCTACAAAACAGAGAACGTAATCCACAAATACCAAATATTTATGCAAGCACTTGACAAACTACAAAATGACTTACTATTTAACATACTTATTCCTTTGATCCATGTTTGGCAAATCTCATTAGATAAGCATTGAAATCGACATGTCCTGCCATTTGCTGTTGGATTTCCAACCAGGTATCCCAAATTACATGCATTTTACATTATGTATTTCATTCACTAGAAGCTACTTAAAGGTGATCTTTTCTGCTTCATTTACAAATTTATAATTTTTATACAAGTCATATAGTGGTTCAATACCTAAATTAAATAATATTTTCTGAATATTATGAAGTATGAAATTTTGATGATAATTTAGGTAAAATTATCATCACACAGATTTATATTTGTTTTAGGTATATAAAATGTATATATTCCTTACTTAAGAAAAAGTTTTGTCTGAACAATGCAGTCAGGTTATACTTTAATAACAATGTGAATGGTATTTGATAAACATCAAAAGTATAATTTAAAAAGACATAACAAGGCTTACATACAAGGTAGGCATCTGTGTCAATAAGGCATATTCAAAAATAATGAGGAAGGATAAGCCTACTCTTTGCTTGATTTCGTTTCTGGACAATGAACTATCATCTGACAAATGAAATTAAGCATTCTCCATGTGAGACGATGACATCTGAACCAAACTGTCTTGCTAAAAATCAGAATGGCCATTCTAGAGGATTTTTTTTTGACCATCCTCTCCTCTTATGACTTAACATTTTATTACAGGGCAGCTGGACTTCCAGCTGCCAATATCTGCTTCTCTTTACGTTACAGCCTTTATGAGTAGACTCTATCTTATATAAAGCTTTGCAAAGTGCTTGAGAGCAGAAGTCCATCTGCAACAGTTCTAAACCACTAACACATACATGTAAATTTATAAATATCCCAGCTTTTTTTATCCCTTAGGCAAGATGACTTTGAAGCACATGTTCTGAAATTGCTCTGGAAGTTACCCAGGAGTAAGACTCAGCAGTTAACTTGCTTCATAACCTATCAGTTATTGGCTACTTTTCTTTTGCTTTATAACTCTCTACCATGCCCTGATTTCTCGAGATTAAAGGCTAACAATTCAACTTGTTCTCATATTCTTTTCAGAGTCTCTTTTTTCCAGAGGATTCACAATTATATGCACTCACTTCATAAAAGGTGGCTGAAAAGTGAGTGATCAATATTGCTTACAGAAGCCATCGATCTTAACTGGTGAATGAAATAAACAGATTATTTTCCTGCTTTGAACAAAGCCCAAGATGGCTATTGTGTAGCTTTGTGACAATAAACTCAACAAGAGCACCAAGAAGTAACGCTGAACCAAAATGACAAAACCTAATTCTGAATTGGCAACTTATACCACTTTTTATGGAAAATTTCAATACTAATAATAAATCAATAGGAAAAATAAACAAATTTGGATCTGAATTTAAGAAAGGGTCCTTAAAAGTAAAAATAAACAATTTTGAGTAGGATTTGATGTACTCAAGTGAAAGCAAGAAAAGAGGGGAAATTTTTTAAAACATGATATATAAAAGAAAGGCTATGAAATAAAATGGCAGAAAGGATTCTAAATAAAGAAATAACCATAGGAAATTTAAATGCACTAAACTTTCCCCTTAAAACAGAGAGATAGGCACTGAACTAAAAACAAAATAAAAATATATAATATGCAGTTTTCAAAAGCACATTAGAAGTATCTAAAAAGAAAGGAAAATAATGATTATGGCACAAATATAAAAGTAAAGAAGAAACCAATCATCTTAATATCATACAAAGAAAATTTAACACAAGGTACACAATAACTGACAAATAATGACAATAGATAGCAGTAAAAGTAAAAATAGAGAAATAATCTCAAAAATAATCTATTTTCATTGTTATGTAAACCAAATTCAAGTTAAATATCAACTTATCATGTCACACAGCATTTAGACTCCTAGGTGTTGACTCAGAAGAATACAATTATTGTGTACACAATTACTTCAACATGAACATTTATAACAAATTTATGCATAGTAACTAAAAACATGAAATAACTCAAGGCAATTGATAGGCAAATATAAAAAAATGTGGGAGGTTCTCTGAGAAGTGCCATGGTAATGGACAAGAATAAGTACACTTAAAGAGGCATCAAAACTGAACCAAGAAGAAAGTAGTTGATCCATTTTCTGAAAAATATCGGTATGATATGAAAGCACCAGCTATGTTCAATATATGAAATACTGGAAATAAATAGTCACAAGGGTTCAAGTAACTAGAATTGGGTCTGATGATATCAAAGTTAATTTTTTTCCTATCTTAAAGAAGCAATTTTAATTTTTTAAATTTCTTTTATTATTGTTCAGTTACAGTTGTACCCATTACTGCCCCATTGCTCTCCCCTGCTGTGCCCACCCTATCCTTTCCCACATTCTATGCCCTGCCCATTATGCTTGTCCATTGGTCCTTTATATACGTTCCTTGACTTGACCCTACCCCTTTCTTCCCCCATTATCTCCCTCCCCTTCCACTCTAGTCACTAATAGTATGTTCTTTATTTCCATGTCTCTGGTTCTATTCTGCTTGCTTGTTTGTTTTCTTGATTAAGTTCCATTTATAGGTGAGATTGTATGGTACTTGTCTTTAACATCCTGGCTTATTTCACTTAGCATAACACTCTCTAGTTCTGCAGTTCCATCAATGCTGTCTTGAAGGGTAGGAGTACCTTCTTTCTTTCTGTTGCATAGTATACCATGGTGTAAATGTACCACAGTTTTTTCATATACTCTCTTACTGATGGGCACTTACGCTATTTCCAGCACTAAGCTATTATAAACAACGCTGCTGTGAATATTGGGATGCCTAGACTCTTTTGAATCGGTGTTTGGCGATTCTTAGGGTATAATTCCAGCAGTGGAATTGCTGGGTCATAAAGCAGTTTCATTTTTAGCTTTTTGAGGAAATTCTATACTGTTTTCCACAGTGGCTGCACCAGTCTTCATTCCCACCAAAAGTGTACTAGGGTTCCCTTTTCTCCACAGCCTCACCAGAATTGTTGTTTGTTGATTAGTTTATGACAGCCATTCTAACCAGTGTGAAGTGGTATCTCATTGTGATTTTAATTTGCACCTCTCTGATGGCTAGTGATATTAAACATCCTTTCATTATGTTTATGGGTCCTCTGCCCTTTGCCCTGTAGAGTCTGTTCAGGTCTTTGCCCATTTGTTAATTGGATTATCTTCCTGGTGTGAAGACATGAGTTGTTTATGTATCTTGGAGATCAAATCTTGTCCGAGGTATCATTGGCCAATATGTTTTTCCATACAATTGGTTGCCTTTACGTTTTGCTGATGTTTTCTTTGGCTGTGCAGTGCTTTTTAACTTGATGTAGTCCATTTGCTTTGTCTTTTGTTTATATCCCTTGCTCTAGGGGACATATTGGTGAAAATATTGCTGCGTGGGATACCTGAAATTTTCCTGCCTATGTTCTCCCTTAGTAATTTTATGTTCTCATGACTTATATTTAAGTCTTTTATCCATCTTGAGTTTATTTTTGTGTATGGCATAAGTTGGTGTTCTAGTTTCATTTTTTTGCAAATACCTGTCCAGACCTCCTAACAGAACTTGTTGAAGAGGCTATTTTTATTTCATTTCATGCTCTTGCCCCATTGTCAAATATCAGTTGACCATAGAGACATGGGTTTATTTCTGAGCTATCTATTCTGCCATTGATCTATGTGTCTGCTTGTATGCCAGTATCAGACTGTTTTGATTACAGTGGCCTGGTAATATAGTTTGATATCAAGTATTATGATCCATCCTTCTTTGTTCTTCTTTCTCAAAATTGCTGAGGGTATTCTGGACCATTTATCATTCTGTATGGATTTTTGAAATGTGTGTTTTATATCCGTGAAATATTTGATTGGTATTTTAATAGGGATTGTGTTGAATCCATAGATTGCTTTGGGTAGTATGGACATTTTGATGATGTTAATTTTTTCAACCCATGAACATGGTATATGCTTCCATTTACTTGTGTCTTCCTTAACTTCTTTCTTCTCTGTTGTGTGGTCTTCTGAGCACAGGTCTTCTACCTCCTTGGTTAAGTTTATTCCTAAGTACTTTATTTTTCTTGTTGCTATATTAAATGGGATCTTTCTCCTAATTTCTGTTTCTGATATTTCATTGTTGATATATGAATGTGCCTTCAATTTCTAAACATTAATTTTGTATTCCACTGTTTTGCTAAATTCACTTACTATGTTAAGTTTTTTGGTGGAGTCTATAGGGTTTTCTATGTACACTATCATGTCATCTGCAAACAATGACAGTTTTACTTCGTCCTTTCCAATCTGGATGCCTATTTTTTTTCTTGTCTGATTCCTGTGGCTAGAACTACCAAACTATGTTGAATGGAAGTGGTGAAAGCAGACACCCTTGTCATATTCCTGGTCTTAGTGGGAAAACTTTTAGTTTTTGACTGCTGAATATGATTTTTGCTGTAGGTTTCTCATATATGGCCTTTATTATGTTGAGGTATGCTCCCTCTACTCCCACTTTGCTGAGTGTTTTTTATCATAAATGGGTGCTGTACTTGATCAAATGCTTTTTCCATATCTATTGGTATGATTATGTGTTTTTTGTCTTTTCCTTTTAATTATGTGATGTTACATTTATTGATTTGCTAATATTGTACCATCCTTGCATCCCTGTGATGAATCCCACTTGATCATGGTGCATGATCTTTTTAATGTATGGCTGGATGCAGCTTGCCAATGTTTTTTTGAAGATCTTAGCATGTATGTTCATCACTGATATTGGCCTGTAGTTTTCTTTGTTGTGTCTTTATCTGGTTTTGGGATCAGGATGATGCTGGCCTCATAAAAAGAGATGGGAAGTTTTCCCTCTTGTTGGATTTTTTGGAATAGTTTGGAATAGAGGTTAGGTCTTCCTTAAATGTCTGTAAAATTCTCCTGTGTAACCATCCAGTCCAGGGCTTTTGTATGTCAGGAGTGTTTTGATTACTGCTTCAATTTCACCAGCTGTTATGGGTCTGTTCAGGCTTTCTACTTCTTCTTGATTCAGTTTGGAAAATTATATGTTCTAGAAATTTGTCCATTTCACCCAGGTTTTCAAATTTCTTGACATATAGTTGTTCATAGTAATTTCTTCTAATCCTTTGTATTTCTGTGGTATCATTGTAATTTTTCCTCTTTTTTTTCTAATGTTAAATATTTGGGTCCTCTTTTTTTCTTGATAAGTCTTGTTAAAGGCTTGTCAATTTTGTTTATCTCTTAAAAGAACTAGCTCCTGGATTTTTTGATGCTTTGAATTGTCCTTTTAGTCTCTATGTCATTTAATTTTGGTCTGTCTTGATTATTTTCTTATTTCTATTTGCCCTAGGTATTTGCTGTTGTTCCTCCAGTTTTTGTAAATATAGGGTTAGGTTTTTTATTTGAAAATTTTTTTCTTTTTTAGATAGGCCTATGTTGTTATGAACTTCCATCTCAAGACTCCCTTTGCTGTGTCCTATAAATTTTGGACTGTTGTGTGTTCATTTTCATTTGTTTCCAGAAAATTTTCTATTTTTCTTTGATCTCATTGTTAACCCTTTCATTGTTTAATGACATGTTATTCAGCCTCTGTGATTTTGACTGTTTTTGAGTTTTTTCCCTTGAGGTTGGTTTCTAGTTTCAAGTCCTTGTGGTCCAAGAAAATGCTTGACATGATTTCCATTTTCTTGAATTTGTTGAGGCTTGTTTTGTGTTTTATCTTTGAAAATGCCCTATGTTCATTTGAAAAGAATATTTGTTTTGCTTCTTTGGTGAAGAGTTCTGTATATATCAGTTAAGGCCTTTCAATCCAGTACATCATTCAGTGCCACAATATCCTTGTAGTTTCCCTGTAGTTCTTTGTAATTCTCACAAAGGTCTATCCATTGTTGACAGTGAGGTGTTAAAATCTGCTACTATAAGTATGTTTATGTTGCTGTTTATATCTTCCTCAGAGTCCTCCAATATTTTCCTTATATATTTGGGTGCTCCTATGTTGGATGCATATATGTTTACAATGTTTATGTCTTGATGGATTCTATCCTTGAGTATTATGAAGTGTCCTTCTCTGCCTCTTTTTATGGCCATTGTATTGAAATCTGTTTTGTATGATATAAGTATTGCTACCCCAGCTTTTTTTCCTTTCCGTTTGCTTGGAATATTTTCTTCCAACCATTCACTTTCAGTCTGTGTAGGTCTTTTGTTCTCAGGTGAGTCACTTCAATGAAGCATATGTGCAGGTCATGTTTTCTTATCCATTAAGCTAACCTGTGTCTTTTGATGGTATCATTTAATCCATTAACACTGAAGGTTATTATTAATAGGTACTTCTTCATTGCCATTTTTCCTCTTTGTACCTGTGTTTTCCTCTCTCTCTCTCTCTCTCTCTCACTCTTTTCTCCATCTTCTTAAAGCAGACCCTTCAGCATGTGTTGCAATGTTGGTTTGGTGGACGTGTGTTCTTTTAGCCTTCTTTTGTCTGGGAAACTATTTATTTCACCTTCCATTTTAACTGAGATCCTTGCTGGGCCGAGCAGTCTTGGTTGCAGGCCTTTGCTTTTAGTTACTTGCAATATTTCTTACCATTCCCTTCTGGCTTGTAGTGTTTCTGTTGAGAAATCAGCTGCTAGCCTTATTGGAGCTCTCTTGTATGTTAGTTCTTGTTTCTCCCTTGCTGCTTTTAGGATTCTCTGTTTGTCTTTGATTTTTGGCATTTTAATTATGTCTTGCAGTGGGCCTCTTTGGGTTCTTCTTGATTGGGACCATCTGTGCTTCCTGGACTTATATAACTTTTTCTCTTATTAAATTAGGGATGTTTTCTGTCATTACATTTTCAGACAGATTTTCTATCCCTTGCTCCTCTCCTTCTGCTCCTAGTATCCCTAATACATACATATATATATATATATATATATATATATATATATATATATGTAACATTTCATGTTGTCTTGCAGTTCCCTTAATCCCTCTTCATTCTTTTCCAGTATTTTTTCCTTTTTCTGGTCTTTCTTGGACTTTTTTTCTACCTTTTCTTCAAGCTCACTGATTCAATCGTCTGTTTCATCTAGATTGTTTTCATTCCTTCTACTGTGTTCTTCATTTAAGAAATTGTATTCATCAGTTCTTCTGGGTTCTTATTGAGGTTTTATATGTCCTTTTTCATACTCGTTTAATTTACAGTAAATTCTTTGTAATTCTCACTAAGCTCATTGAGGTTCCCTATAACCATTCATTTGAACTTAGTGTGTGATACTATAAACTTTATTTCATTTAACACTTTCTGGGGATCCCTCCTTCCCTTTTTATTGGGGGTTGTTTCTTTGTCTCCCTTTTTTAAGGGAGATTTTTCTTGTTTCTAGTTCTCAATTTGATCTGTTTTTACTTGCTGTCTTTGTGGTGTGATATTCTCTTGCAGGAGACCAGTGGGATTCTGTGGTACAGTCTCCTGATCTCCTGAATTTGATGTTCTTGGGATAACCTTTATGCCATTTTTGTTGGCTCTCTGAATGTAATTTGGTTTAATTTTTGCTGTGTCATTGTTTAGTGAGCCCTTCCCTCCAGCTGCCTGGCTGAGGGTCTCTTCACCCACAATGTCTTGTATGCTGTTGTGCAGGTGCACTGTTTTTTCTTTCTGGATCCATCTCTGGTGATGTCAGCTGATGTCCAAGTGTGGCCTTAGGCATCCTATTTGAGACTACCAGATATCTACTGTCTGTGGCTGACTCCTTCAATAGTCAATCTAGTCACTCGGCACTCAGCAGTCAGGCTTAAGCACCACAGGTTGGGGCAGAGTACCACTTGGGAGAGGGGCTATTCCTTCTCCTCAGGCTGATGCCACCCAGAGGGGAATAGTCTACCTGAGCAAGATGGTTCCTGCAATATGGGGGATGACTCAGCACCTGGACCCTGGCAGCTGCTCTCTCAGTTCTCCCCCCAAAACCACCATCCCCAGTCTCTCTTCAAGTGTGTCTATTCCACTTTGCCCCCTACTTTCCTGGAGCCCATGGTAAGTGGCTGCATATGAAAATTTATGTGTTGGCCCTTTGAACGACTCTTCATGTCGCCAGCTGTCCATTTCTGACAGACAGAATCCCTGCTACTTTTTGTTGCTGGATATTATCTGGATACTTTTCAGGCTCTGGAGTTGTAGGCTGTGGAGCCCAGCTAGTGGTTTAGATCCCACAGTTCTCAGGGGGATTGCCCTGACTGCTGAGATATTCCTCTGGCACTTCAGCTACCCAGGGGCCCAGGGAGCCCTCTCAGTTCCCCTCCATACTCTGTATCACTCACATTGAGTTGAAGCTGTTTCTTCTGTCTGTGGTTATAGGGATTCTCTCCTGCTATTTTTTAGTTGTTTATTCTGGATGATTTCTCCATAGTTTAGTTGCAATTCCAGCTTGATGCTGAGAGGAGGTTAGTATAACTTCCATTCACTCCTCTACCATCTTGAACCCACTCAAAATCCATATTTTTAGATGAGTTTTCCTGTTGTGTGAAACAATAGAGTTACATTTAGAAAGTTTAGCTAATTATGAGGATGTTTTTGGTAAAAGCATCCTGACCATCTTCCATGGTGTCAATCTTAACTGTGACAAAATGTATTCTTTAGTCAAAAAAATGGCAGAACTTGACTGAAGCTGATAGGATTTATTTATTTATTTATTTATTTATTTATTTATTTATTGGCAGAAAGACATGAAGTGTATTAAGGAAGAAGGGCAGGAGTCATAGAAACAGACACCAAATCCAGGAGAACACTGATAATAGTGGTAAGAGCAAGACTCCCTAGACCAGCTAAAAGCCCCTTAGATAGAAGCCACGAGGGAAGCCCTTGAATGAATAAATTGATTTCAAACAGTATTAGAAAACACATAGAAAATGATTTCACAATCTATTTTTTTTCCTATGATATGTTCATTAGAAAAGTAAACCTGCTGAAGAAGCCCAAGTTCGATCTGGAAAAACTCATGGTGCTTCCTTCATAATAAAGACAGTAGTCTAAAAAAGCTACTAAGGATGGGGCAGGTGCTAAATTTGAATACGCTGATGAATTGTATCCATTGGTTCAAAAAGCTGTTTAAAGTTCATACTTTTAATGATGAAAAATACATCTCATTTATGAAAAAATACTATGTTGATATAATGAAATGCTATGCACTAATAGAGAAGAATAAATTGCAAATACGTACAACATGAACGAAGTTTAAAAACCCGATGTTAAGTGAAAATAGGCAGACATAAAAGATTGTATAGTGCTTAATTCAATTTATATGAAATTTTAGAAATGACCAATGTAATCTATAAGGATAGAAAGTAGAACAGTGATCAGCTGCAGCTGTGATGGAAGAGCAGCTTTTGTCATAATGCAAATATTCCCTATCTCTAAATAGTGTGGATCAATGCTTATCTGGTTCTCTATAGCATAGAAGATGGCCTAAACAACCCAGTGCACAGAATGGGTCTGATAAATGTTAGCATCTAGCTTCTAACATAAGCAGTCCCAGTGCTGGCACAATGCAATAACTATGATAGCAGTAACGGTTACTGTACAAGGCTGATCAAATTTCATTTTCTACTGACCATCAACCTGGCAGTTACCAAAAACAATGTTAAGCACTGAATGTATCATTCTCCCTCGAGTAAAAATAAGCCACTTGATGGAGTTATCCCACCCTGAAAGGGGCAACAAATCAGTTTGACAGTAATTGACACATATAATGGGAATACATTTGTTTTTTCTTCTTGTGAGGCAATGGCCAATTTAGTATCCGATGGCTTACAGAATGGTCCCTAACACAAAGTCTCAAGTGGCATTATGTCACATGAAGGGATGCAATTTAGAGCAAATAATTACAACAGTAGACACATGGCCATGGTCCTATCACATACTGCACCAACCAAAAGTTTCCAAGTTGCTATAGAAATGGAATAGATGCAGTTCAGTTGCCTTATAGATGATATCTTCTGAAAAACAGGACAATATATTCCAGGTACACTATGTAATATACATCATCATTACATGGAGCTAGATCTCAATAATTAGCTTACATGTATCTGGGAACAAAAATGTACAAAGTCAGAGTGGCCCCAGTTACCATCCTTTCCAGTGACCTACCTGGGAATTTTTTCCACATTCTTATGGGTGTTTTCACTAAAAGTTTATGCACATGCACACACAGAGAGACAGAATGTGAAAAAACAACAACAAAAAAAACCCTTCATCCTAATCATCATCTAAGAGTCCTTTCTCAAAAGTAAATGTCCTGGCTAAAGTAAACTAATACAACGTGAAAACTCAAATAAACAAAAAAGAATGAAGAATGCTAAAACAAGGGAATATGTGATTAAACATAAAATATTATTTTCTTTTCTTAATTTCTGGAAAAATAATTTATGTTTTAAAGTAAAAAATGACAATGTGTTGAGAGATTCATATGTAGAAATATTTATCTGGTGATAATTGCATACAGGTTAAAAACTAGATAAATGGAATCAAACTGTTGAAAGTGTTTACATTACCTGGGGGGCAGTATAATATTAATTCATGATAGACTCTATAAATTAAGGTTACATAACATAATGTCAGGAGCAATTACAAAACAAACAAACCAAAGAAGTATGGTCAAAATGTCAATTGAGAAAATAAAATAGAATATGTAAACACACATGAGTTGATCTCACTTAAAGATTCAAAAAAAGTGAGCAAAGCTATAACAGGGAAACCAGAAGGGACAATGAAGAAACAAAACATTAATGGACACAAAACAAATTTATTAATAATTACAATAAATGTAATTGACTAAAGATCTCAATTACAAAACAAAAGTTGCAAGTAAACTATAATGACACAGATAGATTAAAAGTACAAAAGGATATTTTATACAATCCAATATATATGATGAATGTAGCCATACTATTATTAGAGCACATGGAATTTAATCACTCCATATCACCAAGGAAAAGGAGAGATTTTGCAAAGGTACAAGAACTCATAACAACCTTACTACTTATCGGAAATGTAATAGGAAAACTTCAAAATGTATAAAGAAGTGACAGAAGTAAAAAGAAAAAGACAAATTCGTAATCAGATTTGGAGATTTTAGCACTTCCCTGGTTGAAACCTACTTGGCTGCATATGTAGGTAAAAATCATTTGAGCTGGTCACTTCAGGTTTCTACATCATACTATATGTAAATTATATTTCAATTATAAGGGAAAAAACATCTACATGGACTATGAGAGAAAAAGAAGAAACTAAGATATAGTGAACCTAAACTAATATGTCAATTTATTGGAAATGAAATAATTTCTTGGTAGATTCAACTGCTTTCCCCAGTCTCTGGGGTGATGCAGGCCCTCCTTGATATGTTCCAGTCTCCAAAATCTGTGGAACATCATAGTCTAGGTCAAAACTATGGTCCTGAACCCTGTCCTTTTCTGGGAATTTCTAAGAAATTTCTCAGGGAAATCATTTGTTTGGAGAGGGTAGCAGAGCTGGAAAAAATCGGTGTCCCATGAGTGCAAAACTCAGAAGACAGCTCAAGGAATCTGGGATCTACAAATAAAGGCCTTGGCACTGAGGCTGAGAAGCCTCTAGCCTGAAGTCATTTCTGTTTCCCTCTGTGGTGAAATGGTAAGTTCAGCAGGGCCTTAACATAACATTGGCTTATAATATGTCCTTGTCCCCTAAAGTAGGTCCGACACATGAGTATTCTAATAATTGCAACTTAGAGAAGACTATGACTAAAACTGTCTAAAATCTCTGTCATTTTGATATAGAGGGACTTAAAAAAAATATTAATTGCCATGGGGAATGGAGGGAGCTTTCTCTTGGAGATATCTTTGCTGACAAGAGAAGAGTTTAACTGAAATTTGGGGAAGAAGCTATGAAAGTTAAAAATGCACTAAATCTACTTGTAGCCACCCATTTTCACTATTTCCACCTATCTATGGTTCATTTTTAAAAAATCCAATTATTCGTGCACAGTTAACCAAAATGCTTGATAGAGTCAAAGCTGTATGTGACGTAGAGATTGAGAAATAGAAAAACTGGTCTGACAGAGGTTATATTTTATCTGCTTAACCAAAGAATTGGAAGGCAGACAGTCCAGGTTCAGAAGTCAGGCCACTGATAACCTTCTTGACCACTAGACTAAAATAAGAGGAGAGGGCTTTAGTCTGGGAAGTAAGGACAAGTGATATGACACTATGATCTCAAGTTATTAGAAGAACTTTGTAGGAGAAACCAGGGAACAATCTAGTCATGCCAAGTGAGTCATGTGCAGTTGGAAAGGAAGTAATACAGGAGCAGTATAAGGTAGTGCTCGGCATTCAGCAGGACAGTAAGACACAGCCAGGTTTGAATTCCAGTTCTATCTCTTACTAGTTTCTTTCCTAATTTACAGAGCAGGGGTAACAGTAGTAATTGCCCTATGAGGTTGCCCTAAGAATTAAATAAAATGACATGTAAAAAGAGTTTAAGATATCATTCATCTGAGAAAGTATTCCTGAACTTTAATTCTTGGTAGTAATAAAATTTGGGACTTTCTCTCAAGACAATTTACTTGAGAAATATTTGAGTAATTTTTCTACATAATACAATTTTCTAAAAAAGCAAATGCATTGGCCCCCTTTTGACAATAATTGCTAATTTATTAATATAATAAACATCAATTGTTAAAAAGATGTTTCTTATATTTCACATTGATGAGGGACTTACCAACTATATCTCTTATCCTTAATAAAATTATGCTGTTTTATTACTAACTGTTCAGCAGTAAAGCTACAAGGTTTCACATATAAATATCTGTTTTCCAGTTCACATAAAAAGTAGAGCAAACATTTTGAAAATGGAACTATCTGCAGGTAAAATTAGCCTAACTCAATGCCTACACATAGTAATTATCTGCAGTGTTCTCCTTTTCTGTCTCTTTTTAAAATATCTTTCCCTCCTTTCATTCCATCTCACCTTGGTAAGAGCCATCTCTTATCTTGCTCACCTCTGGTTCTGGCTGAGCTGGTATTGATCGCGGACCCCTGCTTTTACTGTTTCTCAGCTGCTGCCACTTGCTGAACTTAGCTACTAACAACTTCTATGGGCCATTTATCTCTCCTCTGAAGCAAGATTTTTCAGAAATAAAATTGAAATGACTTGTATTAATTAAAATAGCTTTAGACGTAACTCTCAGGTACCGGAACTGGCACGTAATAAAGTTCAAAGCTTCAGCCTACTCAGAGATGTATATTACTTATTACATCACTAATTTTTATGTATCCTCCAGTATAATGCAATTTACTTGTGATTTATTTGATTTTTAAACACATTAATCAAAACAAGATAGAAACATGGTACAATTTAAAAGCTTAAAATCAAATAACATCAGTTCAAAACTTATGTCTGTTTATAACAATATTTTTCTCAGGTAATTAGTTAATTTCTCTATGCTTCAGTTTTAAAATTTGTAAAACAGGAATAATACTATCATGTAAGGATTAAATAAAAGAACAAATATAAAACATCACAATGCAATAAAGGTTAATGTCCACCCTCTTTTTACCCTATTTTCTCTTTCAATCCACTGTAACTTTCTTTCTCTCATCCCCAAAATTCAGCATCTGGGAACAAAATAAAATATCTTATATATCTATCTTTGAAATGACTAATTTATTTATGTATTTAATAATTACATAATGACATATACAAAGACTAATAGCTCTCTTGATAAGTATAGTTTTTAATTTTACATATTTTATTTATTGCACTTTAATTATTTTGTCTTTTAAAAAGAATATTCTTTTACACTAACCCTAAGAGCATCTAAATTGTATTTTTAAAATACAGAAAATATTTTGTCACTTCAATTAATACACCAATTGTGAACAAATGAACATTTATTTGTTCATTTATCTATCTAACATATATTATTGAGAATTTACTATATGTCTGTAAATAAAAATCTAAAATTTAAAGAGAATTCCTTCAGGTAATAATTTGCAAACCCAGAAACATAGCCCTTTGTATGAACTGAGAACACTTTCAAGAATAGAGAAGTTTATCATGCCTTTACTTCTGTAGAGTCTGGAGTGCTCATGGCTATGGCCTTGGACCGTTATGTGGCTATCTGCTTCCCACTTCGTTACTCTAGTATCCTGACCCCCTCTGTAGTGGGGAAACTGGGGGCGGCTGTGATGATGAGAGGGCTGTTATGGGTGAGCCCCTTCTGCTTTATGGTCGCCAGCATGCCCTTCTGCCCCAGCCAGGTCATTCCTCAGTCATACTGTGAGCACATGGCTGTGCTGAAGTTGGTGTGTGCTGATACAAGAGTAAATCGTGCATACGGGCTCTTTGTGGCCTTCTCCGTGGTTGGCTTCGATTTGATTGTCATCAGTGTATCCTATGTGATGATCTTGAGGGCTGTGCTGGGGTTGCCCTCTAAGGAAGCCCAACTCAAGGCTTTTGGCACATGTGCTTCCCATATCTGTGTCATCTTGGCTTTTTATATCCCAGCCCTCTTTACTTTTCTCACCCACCGCTTCGGTCATCATGTGCCCCAAGTGGTTCACATCATGTTGGCTAATCTCTATCTACTGGTCCCTCCCATGCTCAACCCCATCATCTATGGAGTTAGAACCAAGCAAATCAGGGACAGGGTTATTCAAGGATGTTGTGGGAAAGACCTATGAGCCAGGGGCACAGCATCACAACCAACACAACTGCCCTACTGATCTGGGGACAGAAATGCAGAAAGTTTGCCTGGCCATCACATATCATCACTAAGTCATCTCTGTGAACAGCTGACTCAGGGGTTGACAACCTTTAAAAAACAAAAGGAAACACTTTTCAGGTAGCCCAGAACTAGAGTTCTCTAAGAGATTCAGTTAATAAATGCTTAGTTGACCTATGTTCGTCATCACAAGAAAACAGAAAAAAGAATTTTTACTTCTAAAATGAGTGACTATTTTAAAAGAATGTCACCTTACACAAGCCACTAAGGTGAAAATTATTTTTAAATTGTTTGTAAAAGGATAAGTTGGTATACCTTGTTAAAAAGGAGTATAGAAATTTCCATCAAAACAGTTAAAAGTGCATATACTTTCCCTATATTGGAATCTTTTTATAGAAACATAATCTTAGAGGTAAAAGTACAAGACATGTATAGATTTATTGTTTATAAAAAGGAAAACAGAAAACCATTCAAATATTAATGTATAAGAAACTAGATGAAGAAATGAGCTGTTGAATATTATATATCATTTAACTGCTCTTTGCAAAGAGTATCTAAGGATGCAAAAATTGTCAAGGTATAATAGTAAAAATTAAAAACTTTCCCATAATGCTGGTGCCAATTCCAAAAAAGAATATATATGCATAGAAAAAGATTCAGAAAATACACTCAAATGCTAATAACAACTGCTCAGAGTATTGATATTTGTGGTATTTTAATTAATTTTTGCAACTTTATGTATTGTTTTAAAATTATCTTCAATTGAGAAGCTTTAGTTTTAGTATGAAAACAAGTAATTGAAACAACAAAAGTGTACGGAAGAGATTAAGTGCTAAAGTCTAGGGAAGTGTTGTGGGTAATCAGGGAGGATGTGGAATAGATTAAGTTTCAGAAAAGCTTAAAAATCTACATGTAAAATTTTCAGAATCTCAGTTAATTGAGACTGGTAACAATTAGAATTAGGTGTTCTGAGTTGGTCTCTCTTTACAAAATTTACTGATTTCCCAATAACAATGGATTTCAGAATGAAGAAGTTTGGGAAAAGAATAAAGAAGGGGATTCTCTATTCAATATAACTATACTGGATGGTTAAAGATAGTGACAAACTCACTAGAAATGTAATAATATTAGTTAATAGTCACTTACCCTTTAAATCAAAACTTTAAGCTCTTTTACAAACTATGTTTTCTTTTTTTCTTGTTTTCAACTTTATTAAGGTATATTTAACATGAACAAAGCTACACATATTTAATATGTGCACACATTTGGTGTTCGGATGTTTGCATACAACCATATTAACACCACCTCAAAAAAAGTATTAAGCATATTAGTTACCATCATACACTTGTATTTTATCTTTGTTTACCAATCTCCTATCAAAGACAATAAAGAAGGTTCTAGAATCCAGGCTCTTATATTACTAAAACCAACATCAGATAAAAGTGCTTTAAGAGGAATTATCAATGTGTTCATTTCTCCCAAAAGAAATAGCTATTTGAGCCTGAAATTTCCCTCAGATGTTAATGAGTATTCTGTAGGATCACTTTCATAATTCCCAAAGTTTATAGCTGAAAGGGATCTTGATTCCCTTATTAACAAATCAGTTGTGAGTCTTCCAGTTTTTTTTTCAAACTAACTTCATTATTGTATAACTTGTGATAATAAAATGCAAATTTTTTAATAAAAAACTACCAACCTAATTAAGATATAGATTTCCATCACTTCATAAGGATTCCTCCTACCTCTTTGTAGTCAATCACTTCCCTCCATCCCAAACAGATAGACACTAATATGATTTCTTTAACTATAAATTAATTTTTCTCTCACTAGAACTTTTTATAAATAAAGGAATAAATGATGCATTTTTTTAGTGTGTTGTTTCTGCTCAGTATAAAGATTTTTCAGACTGATCCATATTCTTACATGAAGGAGTAGTTCATTTCCTATTATTGCTGAGTAGCGTATTATATATTTTCAACATACCACAATTGGTATATTATTTTTCTCCTTTCCTTCAGCCCTACTACCCTTCTTTATTTCCAAACACATCAACCACTTATCTATCTTAATGTTTTGCACTTAATCATCCCAATTTGCCCCATTGTTCTTTTCTAGGACATTCTATCTTCCTCTAATCATCCTTTAGGTCTCAATTAATACCATCTTATTAGCAAGATGTTTCTTAACCTGTGTATCTCAGTTAGATACTGTCCCCTATAATTTTATTTCAACACAAATATTTTATTTCCTTCATATCTTAGCACAATTTATAATTATTTAAGTTACTTAGTTATCATCTGTTTCTCTGACTTGAACATAAACTCCATAAAAATGCTACATACTTGCTCACTATTCTAGTCCCAGACCTAGCTCACTAGCAGCATGAATGAATGATTTAATGACATGTGCCTGATGTGATTGTCCCAACAATTCCACTACTGACCACAAGATGGTACTTAGAGGTTATTTATGCCTTATTTCTGCAAAACTGGACACCAGACTTCTCAGTACTAAAAGCTCCTTTAATTATTGCCATGGAAAATTTGAAGGATGTTGTTAGTCAGATAAGGTAAATCTGTTATATGAGTCACACTTTTCCTTCATTCACTTCTTTTTGTTAAGAAATATAAAATGTCTGGAACATACAAAATTTATCTACTGAGCAACTATTCTGCACCAAGCATTCTGATAGAGTATGGGCATAGAGTAGAAGACAAGAGAAATTGGCAATCAGAGCATCTAATTAGTATAAGACTACCAAAATAAGCTCACTGATTACCTACAATTCAAGCTTCAATATTAAAAAAAAAACAAAACAATAATTACTTAAGTGGTGCAGGTCTACCACGATTAGAAGCAAGCTTAAGTATTATGAATCAGTGAAAATAGATGATTGCCTTCTATATGACCTGAAGAACCAGTGGGTCCAGGGCATCAAATTTGTAACTCAACTCAAGCTTCTCTGTACTCGTTTGCAAAAATTACCGCCTGAGCACTTCGAATGAGAGACTCAATTTCCCATTTTTAGGAGGGGGCAGCATCATCACCATGTCTCTACTCTCTCACATGACGCACATCTCTAATGTGATATAGTGACTAAGACCAGACAGAACTTAACAAAAGCCGTCCTTGGCAGGTCAGCTTCTCCTAGTTCTTAAACATTACTCAGAGCCGAGCCATGATCTCAGGGCTTATTACTAAAGTAATTTCAAAAGAGAAATGTTTCATCTGTATTGTCTAATCTGCTTGGTGTATAGTGACATTTCATACTCAAATTCAACAAACATGTCTTCTTCCTCCACTTAATGTGTGACAATACTGTGTTTGGTGCTGAGGTTCTGGACATTAAAATTTTATTTTTCATCCTAAAATCTTCTCCTTTATGTTCTCACAACACCTGGCACAATCTGCTCTCATCACATTCTCTGCTTTGCACCCTAGTGGTTTGATTATGGGTTTTGCTGTTTATTCTCAGTTTGCTAATCCTGAAGTCTTTGACTCCTCCTGCTCTCTCTTCTGAGCCTAGAGCTCCCAGTGCCTGAGGAGGGACAGAAAGGCCCAAGGAAGCACCTTGCCTGACTGCAGATCCCACCTTTCACCCCATCCCCGGCCAAATAAACCTGCCGTCTCATCTTTGGGTCCTGATTCTCAATTGTCTCTCTTAGGTATAGACCATCATGAAAAAGATCGGGGATTCTCTAACATCTGGACACCTGCCAGATAGTTACCAGCCCTGAGGTTTCCTACAGGCCATGTATCACTACACATGCCATAGGTACAAGTAGCTGTAATTATCCAATTATGTTCTATAGATGAGGAAACAGAAATGAAGTAATCTAAGTAACATCCTTGGGTGTATTGCAGAGCCAGAAAGTGGGGAAAAAAGACAAAGAAATGAACAATATATAAACTAAAAACAAACAAACAAAAAAACCCAGACCCCTAGGTAAGAAATCAGCTGCAGGTTCTTACAAAGGCTTGTAAATAGAGAGTTGTGGATTGTTTAATTATGAAGAAACACCGACATGGTGTTCCATATTAATGATGTCCCTGGAGTTGTACAAAAATGCACACTAGGAAGAGATTTAAAAAGAAATTTGTGAAATATCGGGGGGATCACTTTGTAAAGTACATGATTGTCTAACCATTATGCTGTACACCTGAAACAAATACACAGTAATATTGAACGTGAACTGTAATTGAAAAATAAAATAATAATAACGTTAACAAAGGTTTATGCAAATTTGTTTCTTAAATGTGACGGCCCCATTTTTAAACTTCATGTTTTAAAAGAGGATCAAGGCCAGAGGGGAGGACATAGAGACAGGCCCCCATTTTAATTGGCTTCCTGAATGCAGTACAAAGGGCTCAGTGGATGTTTACAATCTGCAGCAACGGTTCTCGTACCATCAGAAACAGCACTGATATGTGCATGGTCACTGCAGCAGGAAGGTGTAACCAAGATGTCAGGAGGGGAAAGGCTGTTGCGGGAAGAGTTAGTGTTGTTCTGGAAAAGAAAGAGAGAAGTCCATAATGTGGTGGTATACACTCTGGACCAAGTGGAGTGGTGGCTTGAATTACCAATAAAACTTATTTTTGAAGCTGGTGTTCTTGAATCCACATGGGAGAGGGTCATGCAATCATTCAGTAATTTTTTTCAATAGTTATTCTTCTGTGTGTCTTTTGTCTTACTAATCTTCAACAGACATGTTTTCATTGTCTTTCTAGTGGTAGAGGGTATTCTAAGGCAGCCACCAAATCACTCTTATTGCTGCATGTCCAACACTTAGCAGCCCGGAATAAAGTTCTTAAATATTTGTTAACATGAACAAATGAGCGAATGAGGGATACTATAGTCTAAAAAGGTCTCATGTAGGATTTTTAAAAATAAGTAAATCATTTTTTGGTTCCTTGGGAGCTCTAATTTTCACAAGGCAAAAGAGTACATGAACCCAAACT